TAGGGGCTTCGTCTGCTTAAATTCCAGAACACGTTATCCGGATGTTTGTATTCAGACACAAAGGTCTTACGGACAGAGTCCGGAACATTTCCGTTTTTCATGACCTGTCTGAAGGGGGCTTAACAGTCTGTGGTCCTGTCCACCTGCCCAGGAATTTTGGGGTAGAGTATGTGAAGACCTGTTAGTGTCTGAAATGTCATATCCCAACTTCCCCCTCTCTTTGTTTGCTGGGAAACCTGGTCGATGTCCTGACTGAAACATCTTTGGTTCACATGGTTCTGACTGCCATATGCATCGCTAAGAAAACTATTCTCATGAATTGGAAAAACAGAGATACTCTTTGCATTAAACAGTATAGAAATCTTTTGTTAGATCATATTTCACTTGATACAGCCTCTGCTTCCACTTCAAGTCAATCTCTTTGGGCTCCTTTGATCGGTTCCATCACATAGCGATGTTGAGGGGGTCATTGATATTGTCCTGCGGGATGATGTGGATGATGGGGTGGAGGGTCTGAGTTTGTAGTATCCAGACGTTCCCTGGATGTGGGTTTACTGGGGGTGTCTGGGACTGGGGGGCTGCTGACCCCCTCTGGAGGTGCTTGGGTTACCCGGGGGGTGGACTACTGGTGGTTGTGAGTAGGGCCCTGTGGGGGTCTTGGCGGCGGCCATGGGTTGCTGCCTGGTGGCTGCATTGCCCCGAGTGGCCCCTGTGTGGATATTCGTGGTGTTGGTGTCAGGTTTTCTGCTGATCTGCATTGGAGGCTACCTGGCTTACTGGAAAATAAACGAGCTGTCGAGGAATATTGGCTTGATCCCCGAGCTCAGAGATGGATTGCACCGCGCTGTGAATTCACAGACTCACATAATTGTCGAGATGAATCGTAAGCTTGAGACTTTGGCCGAGATTCATTATTGGCACAGAAGATGGATGCCATCAAGGATAGAGTGGATGAATCAGCACAGATTGGGATAGTTTAATGTCCATTATTGGGATTTTGAGAGGTTGAGGACCAACAAACTGTAAGACAGAAAGGAAATTATCTCTATCTGGCCCCAAAACAATTTCTAATCAGGATCTGGCGCCCTTGAGCCTGCAAGGCTACAACGAAAACTCCCCCATCAGAAGATGTGGAATGTGCCGTCGCTATGGCAAGTCAACTCTGTCTCCAGTGTTGGGCAAGTTACTTCAAAACTGTAATGCATTATTTATTACTTGTTACCCTCATTTTAAAGTAATTCATTACATTACAATATTACTGATTTTAAAATGTAAGGCATTACACTACTTTTGCATTACTCTAAGTTACTTTCAACAAAACAACTTCAGTATGAGTTTGGTAATCTGATGCCTGGTGAACTCATGACACATCCGGTGGAAGGTATGTGGTGTCTGAGCTAGGACTGCTGTTAAAAACAGTTCTTTAGAAGGATTGTTTATGAAATAAATGAAACAACAAACTGTACTCTCAGCACGCTGTCATCTTAGATTAACTGAGCAGGGAGTGAGGTGGTGGGGGCTCCAAGCCTATTTGCCTTGGTCCCCAAATGCCTTGATACGGCCCTGGATGTGGACTGACTTCTGGGGTGATCTGATTCTATCACATGTATAAATATTAAATGCTTATATATTATTGCTTTTCTCTGGTAAAAATGTCTATTGGGGATAAATCTACCTACATTTTTTCTTTTCAAGCACTTTGTTTTGTTTTCTTGATTTTATTTGAATAATTTCCTGCCCTTTCTCTCTCTAACCTTCCTGCATGCTGCATGTTCTCTCCGTCTTCCAGAAGACCCGTTTCCTAGATTTCCTACTTTCTAACTAATCAGCCAAAGGGATCTTCACATGTGCGGCGCTCCAGCAGCAATGAGTTGAAATCACCGGTGCCCAGATTAACTCAGCTGAGGCAAAGGACGTCAGAAAAGTACAGAATACCAGAGAACATGCGCTGATATGAATGATCGCAGGTGAATTATTTTGTTTTAGTGGAGCGATTTTGTGAATGTTACAGCGGCCGCGTGCAGGACGCAGCTGGAGTAGTTGAGCCGTCACCGCTGCGTCCTCTCTGCTTGCAAAGCTGAGTCCATAAATGACGTCATATATACAGATACTGGAACTTTTTTCGGGTTTCCCGCAATTTGAATTTTTAAGAAACGCAGCTTAATTCTGGGTTTAAAAATGCATTGTAATTACCGCGTTACTGACAATTGTACCGAGTAAATATTACCATTTTCTTTCCATGTAATGCCTTACATTACCACATTACAGCAAAAAGCAATGCATTACAGTAATTAATTACTTTTGTACCGCGTTACTCCCAACACTGTCTGTCTCCTATCCCAGCCTGGGTGGGACTGCGGGAAGGCCGCTGAAGCGTTCCAGGGTCATTGCAACCCTCCAACCCTCAATGCTCCTCCCCCTATCCACACTGAGGTGACATGCGCTGCTTCTATCGTGGCTGCAGGAACTGAAGTAGGGATAGTCCCAACCCACCACCCCACCTAGTGGACACTTATGTTGTGTAGTGTCTTACGTCTGTTGCATATCTCTGTCTGAGGTGTTTTTTTTTTGCATAGCAAAGCTGCCCTCTCGGTGGAGGGTAGCTCCGAAGTGCTTTTTTTCCCCTCCACCTGAACCAATCCTCATGTAAACCCCTCTTATCTCTATTAAGGTAGCACGACTCAGGGTTGCGAATGACCACAGTCACCAATTATTGTCATGTGTCTTGCCCATGTATGTGTGATCTCTGAATTGTGTGTACTGAAACTCTAATTTCCCTCTGGGATTAATAAAGTATCTTTGATTGATTTGATTTGACTGAGTAGGTCTGGGTGGGGGCCTGGGGGCTCGGGGCCTGGGGGTGGCCGGCCCCTTGTGGGGATCTGGACGGGCCTTGGGGGTCAGGTCCTGACATGTATGCTGCCAGGAAGAAGGCGGGAACATGCGGCAGTGCCTGGCCCGGGCTAAGGGGCCTCAGGTAGACCTTGGCTCCTCGGCTGTCCCATCATGGGGGAGGGGGATGTCCAGCAGGGGGAGGATCCAACCTTACCTGGATGTTCTAAGTCTTATATATTCTGTAAGCTGTGCAAATGCAGGGATGGGAGTAGATATTCTGCTGGGGTGGGGCTGCGTTGGTTCCCTCGGACTCCGTGGAGCTCTGCGATGCTGCTGGTTTGGGCCCTGGCAAGATGGGCTGGGGTCTCCATGCCCTGGGTGGCACTTTGGCAATGGAGGTGCTTATTGGGGCCAGTGGGGGAGCTGGCTCCCTGGATGGCTTAAGCCGGGCATACACTGTGCGACTTTTTCACTTTTTTGAGCCGATTTTCCACTCGTGCGAGAATCCACGAGATTGGGGCGAGTTTTGCGCAGAGCGTCGTGTAGTGTACAGGGGGTTACGAGAGGCGATTAACACCTCGTGACCAGCTACCGATCAGTAATCGTGAGCAGAGGCGGAGCTGGCCTAAATGGCGCCCTGTGCGAGATCCCCCTGTGACCTGACCTGTAGGCCAGAGAAACGTTCATTAGCACATCAAGTTCTATTCAGTTTACCGGTAAACATATCACGAATGTACAACAGGTCAATTATTAATCATCTTGGCTACGTAGCTCAATCTATGCATTCCAGTAGCGTTTGCTACAAACAAATACAAAAACAACAATAAAGGAAAACAACTGTCTGACAGACAGCATAGCCGAATTCAAGGCAACACATAACAATAATCATTCGATTGCTCTTGGTTTCAAGTTAAGCCCAATAAAGTGCTTAAGTAAATAAAAGTGTTTCAAAAACAGCGTTTTTGAACCGGAGTTCTGCTCGCGGTGGGAACTCCGCCGAACAAGGTCATTTTTATAGCGAAAACGATCGGCTGGTCACTGACAAGTAAAAGGGTGTTATTGGTAGATGTTAAGCACACTTACCGCTGAGGTAAAATGAGAGTATAAATGAATTGAGGGGAGAAAAACGCTTTGTTTTCCAACGCCGTTCTACAAGCAACAAGCTTACAGCCACGGCAGGAGCAGCTTTCATGTTTGCCGCGACTGGAAGGAGCCAATCAGGAGAGGGACCTCACATCAGCTGACGTGGGTCATGTGACAGGGAGTAGTTGATATGGGTTACACTTTGTTGTGCTTTTATTACAGAAATATTATTATTATCACTATTATTATTAAGAACATGCGATTTCTATGTTTTGTTTATGTATTGGTTGATGCTAAAAATAAAAAAAAATTTAGAAAAAAAAAAAAAGGAAATTAAATGCGCCCCCTGCAGACTGCCGCCCTGTTCGGCCGCACATGTTGCACATATCAAGCTCCGCCACTGATCGTGAGCTCGCACAAACTTCTGGCGTGTTTAATATTTCGCTCGTCCCTCGTGAGGGTATTGCACTGTTGAAGCGGTGCTGCGAGCAGCTGCGACCCAAAAAGTATCAGAACCGCTCACGGCGCATGCGCAATCCTGCATCAACACCGCTCGCCCGCTATTTCCCTAATAACACACGTTGTTTGTTTTTATTTCTACACTTTTTTTACTCACAAAGATTGTCAAGAAAGCGTGTTTGTCATGTTCTTGTCAGATTAAACTGATCACAAAACACAGATTTACTTTCTTTATTTCGTTTTCCTCATCCAACCCCCATAAATCCCCGTGTGTCCTCCTGCAGCACTCCTGAAGGACAACAGGCAAAACAAGACAAAAAAGTCTGACGTGTTGAGTAAAAACTGCTATTTTTAGCATATTTTTAGGGCCAACGTGTTGCTACCAGACGAACAGTGTGAGCAGTCCGATCGCAACCGAGAACTGGGTCGTACAGTGTGAGCACATGACTCATGAGGTCTGCCCTGCGAGGAAGTCGTACATTTTGAGCTGAAGCTGAGTGCTACAAGTGAAAAAGTCGCACAGTGTACACCTGACTTTAGGCTGACCAGCCATTCCTCCCCATCCCCACACATTTTTCTCCTCCTGCTCCCTCACATCATCATGCAAACATGCACATAGGACCTTGGGGGGTGGACAAGTCAGGGGGTGCGGGTATGAACCCCATTTCCACATGCCTGTGGAAACCTGCCCCCGAATTTTATTTGCACATTAAACACTTCCAACATTCCACACAAACACACCGTTCAGTAAAACAAGGTTGATGTAATATTTGCTCATCAGGTTGACGTAGTGATTGTTTGCTCCTGGTGTATTGTTGTCTGTTTTTCTTTTTTTTTCTCCTTCTGCAGGTCTAGAAGCAGACTCTTGTTCATCATTGATTGTTTATTTTTGTGGACCCCCCCCCCGTCCCCGTCTCTTGATGTCTCTTTCACCTCTGTCTCTGTGTCCGGTTGGAATTACAAGTATTCAAAAAAACAATAACAATAAAGTTTTCAGTATCAGGCGTGACATTAAAAGCAGAAGCTTTGATGCTCCACCTGAGAGTAAATTTGTAAGGCTTGTCACCAACATTCAGACATCAATTCTGTGCGCTTCACAGCCAGACAGGACACACACACACAAAAAGAAGTCTAACAGTCACTTTGTGTCTGATTCTCATAAGTTTTCCAAACGTCCAAAAGCTGCTCTGAACGCCACAGCATTGTTGTGATGACGGAGACCCAGTAACATTGGCTTGTTGTTTGGGGCATGGCAGCAACAAACAAACCACCACGTGGAGGATCTGTTAGTGCAATTCCCAAATGTCTCATGCACAGACCCACATGTACATCCTCAATATAGATTGCCCTAATGTGCGTGGACACCTCTAGTATCCTCCTGGGTAAATCCAAGGAAAACACATAGCCCAGTCCCATGGGGTAAGGCGGGTAGGTTGACTCAGGGAAAACAGCAGAAGGAACAAACCACTTGGAGTTTGGATCTCGAAGAACCTGAGCATTTCTCACCACCAACCCTGTCATGTAGAGATGTCTTGGGGCTTTTAGAAGCATGCTGACGAGGTTATGTACATTAAAGAAGATGTCCGAGTCGATCTTCATGGCATAAGAGGTGTTGGGGCAGTGAGTACTGATCCACTCGAACATGAGCATTGTTTTAATGGTCAGGTTTTTATAGCTGTCCTGAAAGTCACTCTGCAGGATGTCATGATGTTTTTGGCTTTCCAGTAAGATCTAGAGACAAAAGCAGAGAGAAGAGTGAGTCTAACAGGTTTTCTTGTAAATCCGCGACAAAGAGCAGAATGTCTCTAATGGGCCATTCCCATCTGTACCGGGTCGGTCCGGGCCGGGTAGCCCCAGTCGGCCCCAGCTTGGCCAGGTTGATTCCACACATCCTTGTCTTAAGCCCATGTGGGCTGATTCTACCCACCAATCAGAGGCTTGCTCTAATGGAAGGTGTGAATTTGCTGCCAGCAGTGGGTGTGTTGGCCCTGGTCGGCCTGAAGCAGACCCCCTCGAGAAGAGGGCTGAGAAGGAGCCTTGGTTGGCCCGGAAAAATACCAGGCCACCCAGATATGTAAACAACCTACGCTACCCGGCCCGGGCCGACCCGGTACAGATGGGAATGGCCCATTAATGTCTCTTTCCTGCAGTGCCAACACTGTGGTTTCCTCAACGTAAAAAAGCTGCAAATATCTAATCAACACAAGGCTGAACTCTGATACTAAATCCATATTGTGGTGGATAGACCAAAAAAAAAAACATCAAGATGTTACAACCACAAAGCTTCAAAGCTCTGGGGATCATGTGATCATCACTTTTAGATCTGACTGCTGCCTTCAACACTGCTAAGTAACATTTTTCTAAAATCGTATTTAAAGCTCTCTGTTGGCATTTGTGGCACTGCCTTGGAGTGATTCGGTCATATGCAGCACATAGAGGCTTCCTGCTTCAGTTTGAACAATTTTAAAAATGTAACGGCTAGAAAAAAATATGGAAATTATTTGCAATGCTATGCTGCTCACAGATGGAATCAGCTTCCTCGTGATCTCAAATGTGCGCCAACTCTAGAAACTTTAAAATCAAAACTGAAAACCTTCATGTTTTCACCAGCCTTTGAATGACTGTTCTTATGCTGCACCTTCTGCACTGTAACTGCTCACCCTTTAGCTTTAACTTTTCTCTTTAATTTTTAAATTGTATTTTCTGTCACGTTGATTTTAATGTTCTTGCTAACGGAGAGCACATTGAATTGCCTCATATCGGTACTCGGTATCAGCAAGAACTCAGAATGAAGCACTGGTACTCGAGCATCGGTGAATCCCAAGTTTTTCTTAAATGCGATTGGTCACTTTGAGTTTCACATGCACGCAGACCGTGTGCGCGGACGTTTCGTCTTCATGAGCTTACCAGGAGAGCGGGGGTGGGGTCTTCAGCATGAGATATTGTAAGCGCATCCCACACTCAATGCGTGCATATAATGCATGTGCCATCTTTAAAGCAACCCTAAAAGGTTTTAACACTTTAAGCTATTGCTTTCAAAGTGGATTTCATTGGTTCTTATGGTAGAAAATGGACCAACTTCAGATTGCACAGCACTCTGCAGCCCTTTACTAATCAGAAACCACACTTAACGGTTTTGTGGTCGTGATTTTTTTTACGTCAGTTAGCTGTTCACTCTGCTGATAGCTGATATATAGGCAAGCAGTTAGTTACCTTTTTATTAGCACCATGGCAGAGCCTAGAAGTAAAAGTAAATGAGTAATGTATTTGGAGGCAAAGCAGTAAGCTAAGACCAGAGTGAACATATGCAGCCTATAATTGATAGAGGGAGCTACTGGAGGCTATGAAGTCACTGATGGTGACCTGGCTTTGTTGCTACTGGACTTTTAAGTAATAATATTTTTAGTCCAACTGTGTGAATCTTTTTACTTAATGGCTTTTTAAGTTTCAGGTAGCTCATGTTAGTGTTAGCTTTTTGCTAGTGTTAGCTGCAGGCTGCTGCAGGACTGTTTACGACAGCTGTAATTCCGCTTTCATTCAGTAGGAGGGAGGAGTGGGAAACTCTTTAGTGTTGCTTTAAAGTGACAGTGTGTACTTTCCCTGGCGATAGAGGGCAGCACGTACCTAAATCACCGCGAGCAAGCATTATTTTTGGGTTCAAATAAGACCTTACCAACGGATGGCCATTTGGGTAAAAAGTCCCTGGGAGTGCAACCTCCAGCAAAATGACAAGCACATCAGACTCCCTTTCATCACTGGCAGTGAGTGAAGCGGTAAATGTGTAAAACAACAATGGTGAAAATTTTGTAACCGTTTGTTACAAATCAGTAAATGCATTTTGTCCTCATGGGCTTCCGTAGAAGGAAACATGGCATCCAATATGGTGTCACCCAGAGCCTTAGACCTGGTCCACGTATTTTAGAACAGATTTTATGGTTATACGTTATGAAACTGCCAATATTTTTCAACAACTAGGCATCTTTTAAGTAATTTACTACAACATTTCGATGGATATTTCCAGAGGATGACGGTAAAAACTACTTATTGTCACTTTAAAGAACTCCACGAGCATGTTTTGTATAGACCACAAAACTAAAATGTGTCCTTGGAACAAATCTGTTTTCACCAGAGTGGATGATTAACTGTCATCAAAGCATCAAATCACAGAATATCTGCCTGAAACCTCCTACCAACACATGACGGACCGTACGCTATGGATCTATCTGCAGCTCAGTCTGCCTATAACGTTAACATTGTGGTGATGGTTTGAGAGCTGAGAAGTAAAACAGAATCACATTACCTGCTCCTCAGGGTGCTGCCTCCCATCGCCTACGCTGGACAGTCCCAACAGGAAGTAATAGCTGACTACCTGACCCAGCACTGTGGTGTGTTTGCCCCATGTGCTGCGGATGATGTTGCGAACATCTCTGTTGTGTGGTGGTACTGGGACTATAACAACCAAGAAAGGGCTTTCCTGGTCGCATCTGTTTGGCTCGTCTACTATGAAATGGTATCGGTGTGGGTATGCCACGAAGAAGGATGACTGTGGGAGGGGTAGCTGAGGTGATGAAATCTGTTGAGACAAAGCAGGCTGGTGTTCACGTTTTTCATTCACTCTTTCTGGTAACATGGCTACCTCCTAATACACACTCTAGATTTCAACACAGAGGCAATATTGAGTTAATGGTCTGATAAGAACTAATGCGCTAACAGCTAGTTTCTGTAGCCTAGTAAACTAGACCAAATTCTTGCTTTGCAAAGTTTGGTCTAGGCATGCTCCATTGGAACCTCAGCAGCTCCTACCAGGACTGTGGCTAGCCAATCACAGCTCTCTAGAGGGGTTTCAAACACATAATGAGCTGTGACTGGTCCATAATGGTGGGCCAATCATAGTGCTCTATCTGCTTAGTGAACAAATCACAGAGCTTTATCTGCTTTGTGGGCCAATCAGGGCATTCTATATGCCTGGTGGGTGGGATGATGCAACAGAGTGAAACAAGAGTATGTCACATTCATTGTCCAGTAGCATGCGGAGATCATTTGAAAGACAACGGTAGAACCCGCCCCACAGCCGAGAGCCGTCAATGGAGCATGGCCAGACTAAATAATGCATTTATTTAGTCTGGCTTGCCAGGCTAAGTTTCTGTGGAGCCAAGGCCAATATGTGATGTTAAAATGACTTTAAAACAGCTTTTTTAATTTTATACACATCTATATCTGCATCATGTTTGCACCACATGGTGATGTTGATGAGTATTGTTTGCAAATGTAAATATCATGTGCTAGTCACATTACTAGAGTGTTCCACCGGGACTATTCAATTTCTTATGAAATACCCTTAAGACTGACAGCTGTGTAAAAGTTTATAAAATGCCACGCAAATGAACTGCTGTGTGCATTTAGAGGAACAGATTGTATAAAACGGTTACATCTACTAGCAGATTTGATTTTAAATGTCTCCAAACATCTAGATTTAATTGGAGGGAGGCATCTGATAGGTTTCATTTTACACAGAAACAACCTGGCTGAAAAGTACCTTTACCCACTCAAAGGCTTAGTTTGTTCAGTAATGTTACCCAGAGCTGAAGTTATCACATTTAAACAGACAGTAAATAATGGTCGCATAGTAAGAAGAGAGCAAATACTGGGCATGTCTTTTATAAATCACACTTTTAAACTTTTTCTGATCACAAAGGAGAAAATAAAATTCACACAAAACAGTTCATTATACTGTCTCACTTCTTAAGTCAAAACATTATTACGGTTTGTCAGAATGTGTTAATTTTAGTCCTGAGTTATTTTAATAAAAAGGAGACGTGTGACTTTTCCACAGCTACAATAGTCTTATGGTTGATACTAAACATGCTCGTGATCCCTCACACATTAAGCAGTTTCAGGAGTTTTATTCTTGGCAGTTTCAGGACCTTCCAGAATGAGCCGTTTCAGGGCTCTGTCACTTTAGGAAAACAAGCTGCTGCTTGCCACGCCCATCTATCCTTCCGTCAGGGGGTGTTTCTCAATGCCAAAGAACCTTGCTTTGATGTCTTGGTCCCGTCTTGGTTGACTAGGAGATACGTCATCAGGAACCGCCAAGGCATGTTCCAATGTTCATGCTCTACCGAGGCGTCTGTTCTCTGTTTGTTAGTCGTTTAGCTAGCTGAGCAAGGATACACGGGAGGTGCATAGTAGCCTAGCCTTGGTCAAAATTTTCTAGGAATACACCGCAGTATTTTCAAAAGGATGGCGGATAAGGTGTCAGCAGCTACTTCAGAGGCAAATTTAAAGTTTAAATATAAGTGAACTAATTGTAGCTATCGGGCTGATATCTAAAATATATATTTTTTTATCCAAAGCAGTTAGCTATGGTTGATTAGTTGCTTAGGCACCTTGACATTGAGAAACACCCCTGACGCTATAAGTTGAGAAGCTCTGATATCCGGGAGGGACTCCGAGTAGAGCTGCTGCTCCTCCATAAGCTATTCTATCTCCTCCTTGTGATGTCACAAATGGGGACTTTTTGAAACTAATTGTTTTAGGCACATGATTCCTAAAACAACACTGACAGACAACGGGTGTGTCATGAACTGGAGGTTGTAGCAGAACCCAAAATGCAGGCAAATCCAGAGGCAGCCAGGAATGGTTCAAAAAGTCAAAATGTTTTATTTGAAGCCGTGGTCTGGAACAGGAACAGGATGAAAAAAACGCGAGGAGCAAATCACATGGGGGCAAAGCAAAGGACAGGAGGAGAATGATAACACTAAAGCTAAAGACTTAATAATAGAAAAAAAAATAACCAAAAACTGGAAACTTAAAGCCAGAATATAAACAAACCAGGGAGGATAAAAGCAACTGAGATAAACCAGCCACAGAGAAACAAAACCTGCAGATGACTGAAAGACCGGGAGAAAGTAGGATAAACACTGAAACTGATTCAACTTAACAGGATCTTAAATGAAAACTAAGGAGTAAATGAAATGACCCCAACAAAAGCCGAGGAATAAACTAAGAGTGGGAGAATAGATGACTGTAGACAAGAGAAACAGCTAAGGAACACAGGGGTCAAAGGTTAAAGACACATGAGGAGCAGAACTACACTGAACACACCAGATAGGGACGATGATAATGTAAAGTATGTCAACGGACAAATATGAAACAGATGGGAGAGAGAGATGGACAGAAACCTGAATGATATGTCAGAGGAGGACCAGAGACATGGGAGACGGGATACAGGACGGGGGACATGGACAGACGCACAGGACAAGACAGCATGGGTGGATTTATCTTCTCATAATGATAACAGAGGCAGTAGAGACCCACATAGCAGCAACAAAGGATGCAAAAGGTGATTTTTGCCTGATATGCCCCGTTTGAATAAACAAAAACAAAAAAAAGAAGCATTCGCATCGTTGGTTGGTGCAAAAATATGACAGACTCCTTCCAGACTGAGTCACTATCCAATTAATGGTAACATGCCGATTATCACTTGTAAGGCGCTTTGGACAAAAGCGTCTGCTAAATACATAAACATAAACAATTAATGGGTTTGATTTCTTGGCACTGGATCCAGAAAAAAAAGATAAAATACAAAACATTATTATATATAGCTGTTAATATTAACTTTAGGCCATAGATAATCATTTGAAATCTAAATTTCATATATGTAAGGATGGCAGCGTGATACATCTTCCTTGCACTTTAAACAATTTTTTGTAGCTATTTGAAATGAAAATATCACCAAATGTTATCAAAGTGAAAAAATCCAAAAGCACAAAGCTTTTATTCAATTTCTCCTCAAACAGAAAAATAAATGTACACAAGTCAGAAGTGAAGCAGAGACAGTAGCTGTGATAAAAACAGAACTTAGATCAGGTAATAAAAATGTCTCAGATCTGAATATCAGTGGAACAACGTCCTGGTTTCATCGCACAGACACTTTTTCACATTTAAGCTGCGCCTGTCTGGAACAGAAATGCAGTATCGAGTTCCATCTGTCGCCATTAAAGCAATTTACTAAGAAATTCATATGTCATTTTCTCAGCTTCAATTTTTGCCAACTGCAGAATGAATTCAGCATTATGTTCAGTTTTAAACAACGATTGAAACTGTTTGCAGAATCCAGGAAAACAAAATCAATTCAATCATCCACCTCTAAATCCTGTTATTCTGCTACTGAAACATACGTTTGTGCAAGTTTCTAAAAAACACGTAAAAAAACCAGAGCGACTTACCCCTGACGGCTCCTGTGTGATGGGCGCTGGTGTGGGTTTTTTGTAAGGAGGTATAGACAAGGGCATCACGGTCCATCCGGGTAAAGGCCACGATGTCAGGCTTCTGCAACTGTAGACTGCGAAGGTCAAAGTCCCCATAAGCAGAGAGAGTCCCAGAAAGCACAAGCTGAGTCTGACTCTTTTCCACAGACGCTTCTCAGATCCAGGACACAAGCGCAGCATCTTCAGCGCTGGTTTATCGAGACATACTTTGTTCTCAGATTCGCTGGTTTTACTACAACGTCAAAGTGAAAAGCAACAAGTGATTCCTGTTAATAAAGTGACTCAATCTCATACTACTTATTCTACTGATCTGTTCTGTGGGGTACCCCAAGGCTCTGTTTTGGGTCCACATACACCCTCTTGGACAGATAATTGATTGTTTTCATAATGTCATGTTCTGTGTCCCCTTGGTCCCCAGGCCCCTCCTGTTCTTCCTCAGGTTCTCCTCATGTGTCTTCTTGTGTTCCCCAGCTCTCTTTAGGCTTCTCTCATGTCTCCTCCTAGTCACTCCCTTATAGTTCAGGGGTTTGTAATAGTCCTCCTCACCCCGCTAGTCATTAGTTGTTTATCTTTTTGCCCTTAGTCCTTAAGTTTAGTTATTCAGCGATTTCGAGATTATGGTTTATCTTCCCCCTGCTTTAGTCCCCCCGCCCCCATTTAGTTATATTAATGGCACCTGTCTTCCCTCCAGACCTCACTCCTCACACATGTCACCAGTTCCCCTGATTGGCTCCCTCTTTGTCAAAAGCCCTGTCTTGTCCCTCAGTGTTTGCTGGTTCGTTGTCATATTGTCTACGTTGTTCATTCCCCTCTCGAGTATTTTCCGAGTGTTTGCTCATGTGTGAGTTTTGTTTGTGTTTTCGAGTTTTCAGTTTGTTTTTTGAAAGTTAATCTTATTTTTGTACCGTGGATTTTTACACTTCCTCCTTGATAGAGGAATTATTTTCTTTAAAACCTCTCCTGCCTTGAGTCGTTCTGGGATTTCTGCATTTTGGTTCCAACCTCCTACTCTAAACGTGACACATAATGTCTCTTATCACCTATATGCAGATGATATTCAGCTGTACTGCTCCTTTAAGGATTCTGAGTTTATAAACTGTCTGAATGACTAGAGTGTCTTTCAGCTATCACCAGATGGCTAGAACATAACTTCCTCCAGTTAAACTCTGAAAGACTGAGGCCTAGTCCACACGTAGCTGTTTTTTTTTAAAAACGAATATCCGCCCCTCCAAAAACTTGCATCCACACCACCTCGTTAAAAAAAAAAAAACTCTGTCCACACGTACCCGGATAAATACTTTGTTAAGGACATGCCAGACCTGTAGGCGGCAGTACTTCCCCCGAATTGTATCCAGTCAGCGTAACTTTTCGTCTTCCTGTGGTCTTCCGCAAGGAGCAGTAATTCCGCTTGCAAAAACAAACAAGCAAAAAGCGCTTGGACAATTGATAAAGCGGGCGCAGCTCTGAGGGCATCCATGCTGTCGGCTAGTGTAAACACAGGTCGCACACGTGATGTCAGCATTTTTTTGTAGTGGAAAGTGACGTTGCGGACCTTAATGGGCTCGACACAAGGGAGGCGACAAATGGCCGCGATCCGCGGCAGCGGCAAAACCGTCTACGCGTTCTGTTCCATGGCGAAATTGAAACTTCCGTTGTTTTGTTTGGCTGTGTCAGGTTGGATGGAATTAAGGTTATTTAAGCGGTTCAGAGTTAATAAAGTGGTAGATATGATGTTTCACAAGGTGCTGCTAGAGTTATGTGAAATCTTACTTCTGATTTTACTATAAAACATAATAATAATCAACTTCTCCTCCATGTTTGCTCGGAGATGTACGGAGCATCATGTCCGCTCATTGGTCAGTGAATGAAACCTCCGTTGATTGGTCCTCGTCCGAGCGACAGCGATGAAGAGTTGAAAATGTTTCAACTTTCTGGGATCGCTTCGCTGGGTCGTCCATGCACGACACGTGCACGAGCGCAAAATTTCACACGCACGTTTTTTGCGTTTCGCTTAGTAGGAGGGAGACCCGCGATTATCGCTTTGTCGCGCATGTCTCATTGAAAATGAATGGAGGAGAGAGGATGTCGCCTCCCGTGTGTCGAGCCCATTAAACTCCGGTTTTGTCTGTCCACACGCAGACACTCAAAACGGAGAAAACGCAGATCTTCACTTTGGCCGGAGTTTTTAAAAAGATCCGTTTTCGTGTGAAAAAACTCCGTTTTCGTGTGGATGACAGGCCAAAACGTAGAAAAATATCTACGTTTTGGCAGATCCCCGGCTACGTGTGGACAGGGCCTGAATATCTGATCATTGCCCCTGAGAGCATGGTTCCCCTGATTAGTCTAAAACGTGGTCCTTTATCCTCTGCTGTCAAGACAAACTTAAGGAATTTGGGTGTCATTTTTGATCAATTGATGTCTCTTGAAGGTCACTCAAAAACATTGTTCTGTAACTGTTTTTATTACTTAAGAAATATCTCCAAACTGCGAAGGTTGGTGTCAAAACATGAACTTGAAATGGTTCTCCATGCCTTTATCTCCTCCCATCTAGATTACTGTAACACACTTTTCACATGTTTTAACAAAAAAGCCCTTGACCTCCTTCAGTTGGTCTAGAACTTTGCAGCGAGGCTCCTAACTGGAGCAAACAGAAGAGCACACATCACTCCTATTCTAATGTCTCTGCACTGGTTACCTGTTAAATTTAGAGTTCATTTTAGAACCCTGACTATAACTTTCAGGGCTCTACATGGTCAAGCTCCTCCCCATATGCCTTATACTCCAACCCGAGCCCTCAGGTCCACACACCAGAACCTTCTAGAAGTTCCAAAACCCAGTTATAAAAGTAGAGGTGATGGCTCCTTCCAGACTGTTGCACCCTGACTCTTGGATGGTTTTCCTTTATCCTTACGCAGCATTGGCAGTCTGGACACTTTTAAAAAACAGCTAAAGACCCTTTTATTTAAACTACTTTCACATAAATCTTTTGTTTTATTATTTTTAATTCAAAATTTTAATCTTTCAGTTGTTTATGAAATTTTATAATTGTATGACCATTTTTTCTGATGTTAATCAATTTCTGTTTTGAGATCATTATGATTTTATGACTTTGTTTTAATTTGTTTTGATCTATGTGAAGCTTTTTGTGATTCTATGTGTGATAAGTGCTGTAGAAATAAAATGTACTTACTTACATAAAATGTGAAGACATGTTGAATTATTTGAATTATAAAAAAACACACTTTACAGACTGCGTGAATCAGAAGTCCCACGTTGATACAGCTTTTGCAAACATTAAATTACACCTGAACCAGCCTTCACATGATACAGAAGTTAGGTGAAAGAAGCAAGTATTTATGAAACAACACCATCATTTCTGTGAAAAGTCACTTCTTCTATTTTGAGGTGTACGCTCTCATCTGTTGCAATAGCATGACTGATAGTCTGCCGTGTTTGTGGCGAGAGTAGCGCAGACAGACGAGAGAACCGATATGTGCTTTCAGAAGAGAGACGGAGTGAGGTTTTGTTGTCTGCCACTTAAAAAGCGTTTTCACAAGCCGTCTGGAGGGTGTGAATGGCCTCCACTTAACTAACGCAAAACTAACTGATGTCCCAGATACAAATATTTGTTCAAACTAAAAAAGGAAAATGACTTTTGTTTATTTATTGGTTGATATCACGCTTTAAAAGGAAGCCAAAAGTGCTCTACAACCTCATTAAGAACAAAAGTAAATAGAAAAGTTGGTCATCACCAACACTCTTCTATCTCACCGCATCAGCCCAATCCTTCAGTAACTCCACTGGCTTCCCAGTTAAACTACGGATCAATCTCAAAGTCTTAAGAGCTGTTCACCATCATTCCCCCATATCTATATCTGATCTTATCGTTTCTCCAGTCCGCTCCCTAAGATCACCATCCTCTGACCACCTTACTGTTACTTCCTTCTGTCGTATCTCCACGAGCTTCAGATCCTTCCGTTGCGCTACTCCCAGCCTCTTCATTTTCAGATCAAAACAAAATAAAAATCACCTTTTCAAGCCTGCTTATGAGATGGTTTGATTGTTTTTGTTACCTGACTTTTGTTCTGTATTCCCAAGTTTTTTATAAGTGATTTATTTTAGCTTGTTTTTAACTTGATTTTTGTTGTAAAGTGACCTTGAGTTCCTTCAAAGGAGAACTCAAGGTCTAACCCTAACCCTTTAAATAAAATGTATTATTATTAGTAGTAGCAGCAGTATTAAAAGGAGCCAGAAATCCAGAATCCAAAATGAAAATGAACACAACTTACTCAAGAAGATCGAATGTTTACTTAAATACTAAAAGCAGAGAAACTAAACATCAAAACTGCAACGACCCTACCTTTGGGTGTGCCAATGTCTCCTGAAGACAGGTACAGTTGAACCAGAGCAGGCGTGCAAGAACTGAACACCTTACAGTTTGTTTTCCACTAAAAGCAGCCTGTTAACCTGCTCCGCTGGGCAAGCAGGGGCACGTTAGAGTATCTGTGTGTTCACATGCGTCAACAGGGTTGCTCAGAACTGGCTTAGACTCCAAAAACAACCCTGTGGTACCGTTATTGCACAGCAATAGCCATGGGGTTGGACTCAAATGTCCAAAACAAAAGTGTTGAGCTGAAACACGAGTTTACACGTTAGATTTGTCGCCCTTCTAAAGATGTTGCATTTTAAATAAAAGGAAGATCCGGGCTTACCATGCGTCAAATGAGTCATCAGTCCTAATGGAACAGCAGCAACAGTTTCCAGAGCAGCTGTCACCATCAGAATGAGGACGTTTTTCAGGTTGTTTTAGCAGTGCCCGCAGAGCTGTGGTTAGTGAGGAAGTGAGTCAAACACACTCAGCTGCAGAATGTGTGTTTTTTCTGCAAGACCCACGATAAGTTAAAGTGCAATCAAAAGCTTGATAGTAAAATTGTGTGCAAAACTTCTGCTGGAAGCCACACAGATCCTGGCAAATGTCAAAGGTCTCAATTACAAAACTTTGTATGGAATTCTTATTAAAACTACTGACTGACGCCAAGTTGCTGTTAATGCACAGCTGCTTGCGGTTCCTGCCTCACACCAATCCTAGAAATGTGCTCAGGTGTTTGTTTGTGGATCGACACCAGGAGTCACACAGGTTCTGGTGCAGTCCCATTATGTTGGTTAACTACAAGGATGACATGCAGTCCTGTGTCAATATCCACTTTGTTCACAAGGTTTTACGGTTGAATGTTTACTTCATGTTCCAGTTGGACGTGCCTGGAAACCTCACCAGGGAGGCATCCAGGAGACATCCTGACCAGATGCCCGAGCCGCCTCAACTGGATCCTCTTGATGTGGAGGAGCAGCGGGTCTACTCCGAGCCCCTCCCGGATGACCGAGCTTCTCACCCTATCTCTAAAGGAGGGCCCAGCCACTCTTCGGAGAAAACTCATTTCGGTCGATTGTATCCGCAATCTCGTTCTTTCGGTCACTACCCAAACCTCATGACCGTAGGTGAGGGCAGAGGTGGATTTAGCAATTTGGGGGCCCAAGGCGAACACAGACATGGGGCCCCTTACACTAAATTTTCGACAATCTTAACTTTAACTGGATTTGCAAAACTCTCCCCTCTTCTGACATGAGT